AGCAGCAGCAACACTAATAGTAGCAGCAACAGCAACACTAATAGTAGCAGCAGCAGCAACACTTATAGTAGTAGCAGCAACAGCAACACTAATAGTAGCAGCAGCAACACTAATAGTAGCAGCAGCAGCAACACTAATAGTAGCAGCAGCAGCAACACTAATAGTAGTAGCAGCAGCAACACTAATAGTAGCAGCAGCAACACTAATAGTAGCAGCAGCAGCAACACTAATAGCAGCAGCAACACTAATAGTAGCAGCAGCAACACTAATAGTAGTAGCAGCAGCAACACTAATAGTAGCAGCAGCAGCAACACTAATAGTAGTAGCAGCAGCAACACTAATAGTAGTAGCACCAGCAACACTAATAGTAGTAGCAGCAGCAACACTAATAGTAGTAGCAGCAGCAACACTAATAGTAGTAGCAGCAGCAACACTAATAGTAGTAGCAGCAGCAACAACACTAATAGTAGCAGCAGCAACACTAATAGTAGTAGCAGCAGCAACACTAATAGTAGCAGCAGCAGCAACACTAATAGTAGTAGCAGCAGCAACACTAATAGTAGTAGCAACAGCAACACTAATAGTAGTAGCAGCAGCAACACTAATAGTAGTAGCAGCAGCAACACTAATAGTAGTAGCAGCAGCAACACTAATAGTAGTAGCAGCAGCAACACTAATAGTAGAAGCAGCAGCAACAACACTAATAGTAGCAGCAGCAACACTAATAGTAGTAGCAGCAACAACACTAATAGTAGTAGCAGCAGCAACACTAATAGTAGTAGCAGCAGCAGCAGCAAAAAGAAATTAATAGATGCATTTTGTCCAGAAGTACTATTCAAATTATCTTAAATATATAAAACATATCTGATTTCAAAAACACTTAAAAACAACAATGGGAATTTTTAAGAGAACAAAGAAAAGACTTATAATTTCAATGTGAAAAAGCTCTCTAATTTGTAATTTTCCAAACAGAAAAAGAACATTCACTAAAAGCAGCAGACCTCTACTGTAGGTCAGGAATAATGTCATCATTAGTAAATCAATATGTTAGAGATGATAGTCAAGGTTGTCAAAGTAAGTCAGTATTAGCTAGAAAATAATATTGTTAAATATGGAGTGTGTGTAAAGATAAGGCAGGTTATACAGTGACTGAATAAGAGGTGGATGTATGTTGTAAACAAATGACACAGTTAATTATGCTATCTGGGGAATCTGGTAGATACTCGACTGCAAGTGTTAAACACAACATGAGGAGTTACAAACACGTGTTTTATTCTGCTATGTTTGTACTCATGTTTGCAGACAGCACCAGAGAATAAGGAATGGGAAGAAATCAGATTTGACCCAAGGAAGTAGAGGATAGCTACAATTCCCAAATGTAGAACTTTCCACAAGCATCAATGCACCTTCTTTGAATGGGTTGTATATATATGTAGGAATCTTAAGTTCTATGTGGTACTTTAAGTTGTGGTGCTTCAAGTAATAACTTAGTAAAGAATCAAGCCTCAGGATCTGGCCACTCCTGATGGTAAATTCAACATCTCATTAATATTAAAAACTTCACCTATCTCAGCTATTATAATTAGAAATTCTCTTTAAAAGTATTCAAGCATTTATAAACTCCTAATTTAGCATTCCTAGTTCTAAACCTAAGCTAACCTAACTTACTTTAAAACTATAGCAGCAGAAGCTTAGTGCTTGTCCACTTGTGGTTGCACACGTGAAGCAGGTGGCAGACACTTTCCACACACTTGTGGTAGCACAAGCGAGGCAGGTGGTAGACATTGGTTCCACACACTTGTGGTAGCACCAGTGAGGCAGGTGGTAGCCACTGTTTTCACACACTTGTGGTAGCACAAGTGAGGCAGGTGGTAGACACGGTTTCCACACACTTGTGGTAGCACATATGAAGTAGGTGGCAGACACTTTTTCCACACATTTGTGGTAGCACAAGTGAGGCAGGTGGCAGACACTGTTTCCACACACTTGTGGTAGCACAAGTGAGGCAGGTGGCAGACACTGTTTCCACACACTTGTGGTAGCACAAGTGAGGCAGGTGGTACACACTGTTTCCACACACTTGTGGTAGCACAAGTGAGGCAGGTGGCAGACACTGTTTCCACACACTTGTGGTAGCACAAGTGAGGCAGGTGGTACACACTGTTTCCACACACTTGTGGTAGCACAAGTGAGGCAGGTGGTACACACTGTTTCCACACACTTGTGGTAGCACAAGTGAGGCAGGTGGCAGACACTGTTTCCACACACTTGTGGTAGCACAGTGAGGCAGGTGGTACACACTGTTTCCACACACTTGTCTGCTGGACACTGCATGTTTTCTCGTCAATAGCCTCAAAACCTTGTTTAATTTGCTTAACTAAGAGTGCAGGTAAGTTGCTAGCATGCAACATTGTCCATGTATTTTGTCTAAACAATCCTATAGTTTTTTTTTTTTTTTAATTTTCAAGTGCTGATAGTTAAGGATTCAACTCTTTCTGTATTTTTTTTACCTCTACTTTCTTACCCCATTTGTAATTTGACAATGGTCAAGGGCAGATTGAAATGTTGCCAAAAGGTTACTCACCTCAGTGTGGGTTTTAGGTGAAATGTTCCAGCCATAGTTCTCTGGCTTTACTCTTCAAGGAATTAATACCTACATTATTGCAGTCTACCACTCAGCACAGCAAGTGGTATACAAGTGTTTCCCCTAAAATAATTCCTTATAAAGTAGGTTATCGATCAAACTGTTTTGGACAGGGCGTCACTTTTCAGCAGGAGTGACCAGCTGACAGCATTATAGGGTTGGGTCAAGTAGGTCAGATATTATTTTTAGCTAGTTAATAAAATATGACAATGTTGCATAAACAAAAACAGGCTTTTGAAGCATAATAAAATTCAAACAAACAGAAACCCCAAACAAAAACAAAACCACACACATACAGCAAACAAAGAGAAAGCCACCACACTTACACCAATGAGAAAGCCACCACACCTACACCAAACCCTCATCTACCACAGATGAATGAATTTAATAAGTACCAAATGAGAAAACATAGAAAGAAGGTAGGGTGATCCAGGACAGGAAACATTCACCATCATTCATTCAATAGTTTTCATACCAGAAGTGTGCAGGCATCCCAGTTCAGAAATACAAATGACCCTCAGAACTGCAGCATCTTCACCCCTCCTTCAGAGTGCAGGCACTGAATCTCCAGGACTTGGGTCTGGCTAACTGGTTTCCTCTGAATCCTTTTATAAATGTTACCTTGCTGACACCTTAAAAAAAAAAGGACACCAAATACTTCACTCACTGACCTAACACACACACACATACCAGCTGGATGATAAAGCCCCTATCAGTTAAAACCTCTTTTACACATCCCCTACAACCCTTCCTAGGACAACCCCCTACAACCCTTTCTAGGGCAACCCCAACAACCTTTCCTAGGATAACCCCTACAACTCTTTTCCACCCTGGATTTATACACCCTCCTGATCATCCTAGTCTACTACAAATACCCAAATCACTTCAACTCCTCTTCTGACCTCTGACTTATACACTGCATAACCCCACACTAGCATCAAATTTCTATATTCCACGTTTTCTGCATAATTTCACACCAAACATTGCTCTTAAACATGACATCACTGTTCTAGCCTTCTCTGCACTACTATATGGTTCACCTTACTTTTCATAGAGCTACATGCTGACACATCCACTCCGAAACACAGTAAAAGGTCAATTAAAGTGCAATTTGACTGTGCAAGATTGTCTTGACAAGATTGAGAACTTATAATAGATAAAATACAGAATGGCTAAAGGAATGGTACTGAGCACTATAAAGTATGAGAAGAACAACACAGGTATGAAGTAATGGTTGTGCATGCCATTGCTAGTTTCTCCCCCTTTGCCCTTCCGGGCCTACAAGTGAAAAACTTTCTTATTAGAGAAGGTAACATAGCTCCCTCCTCCACCTGCCCTGTCACCCTCGCCACTCCACAGGCAGTGGAGATGGCACACACACACACACACACACACACACACACACACACACACACACACACACACACACACACACACACACACACACACACACACACACACACATGGTCTGAGAGAATCACTGACTCGTACAATCAGAAACAGTGAGAAGAAAATAAGAGCTTATGCAATGACTAGCGTAGATAGTGATATTCCAAAAAGAATGACAGAAGTCAATACGGCTAAACAAGAAAGAAAAGTTACTGAATAAGAAGAATGAGGAGAGCTGTCACAAAAGTTCAAGCTGATGGTTTAAAAGCTTTAATTAAAAGGCTTACTGGCGAGTGCATAAGCTGATAGTGTTAATGTATTACAGGTCGGCCATCACTAATCCGGCATCATTGGGACCTGTAGTGTGCCAGATTAGTGAGTTTGTTGGATTACAGAGTGGTTAGGTTAGAATACATTTAATTAACCTATCAATAAAGACTCTTTCTGCTACATCTTCCTCATTTTCATCACTGCTTCCTCCATCACTGGCTTGCTGCTGTGGATTTACAACCATCTGCACAATTTCTGAGTCCGTATAATGATGAAATATGAAATTATGCTAGCCAAAATTAGTGCCGGATTACTGATGGAACCGGATAACTGACTGCTGGATTAGTGATGGCCGACCTGAATTATTATAATCAACCAAGCACTAAATCCGTAAGGGTCTATTGTTACTGATTTTTTGAGAATGGTTACAGTCCCAATCAAATATTTAAGACTGATGAGACAAGTGTATTTTGGAAGTGCACGACATGAAGAACTTATATTAACAAACATGGAAAATGTGCAACTGGATTCAAGGCAGCTAAGGATGGTTCAGCTTACTTCTCTGCACCAATGTAACAGGTTATTTAAAGTTATAGTTTATGGTAAATTATCACTAAGATTCTCCTAGCTTTAAAAGGTCAAGAAAAAGCCTGTCTGTCTGTTATCTAAAAGAGTAGCATGGATGACTGAAACCCTGTTTGTTGTATGGTTTAAATATTTTATTCCTGTAGTCAAGATGTACCTTGCTACAAAGAACCTTGTGTTCAAGGTTTTCCTCACTTTAGGAATCCTGTACTCATTCTCAAATTCTGCAATTTGCAAACCTAAATCTCAAGGTTGTATTTTTACCACCTAATATAACATTTCTGATACAACCACTGAATCTAAGTGTAAGAAAGACATTTAAATGCCACTACAAATGCAAGGCCATGACACATCAGACTGGAATCTTAGAATTCTGGCACAGCTTAAACATTGTTACTCTATGTAGGCAGATAAAAGTGGCATAGAAGGAAGTGCCCTAACCAACCTTAAATGCAGGTTGGGGTAAATTTTGGCAATCTATAACTCTGGTAAGTGCTGTGACATATTAGAGCTTTTAAGATATGCATGAAGATGTGCATGAACTGTTAGATGATGATGAAGTATCTGCAGAAGAAATGCTGGAGAACCTTAATTCCCAGTTAGGAGAAAGGCAGATAAAAGAACAGGATGATGAATAACAACTACAAGAAAAACATATAATAGTGAGGAGTTATGAGAGATATTCCTTTTTTTTTTTTTTTTTTTTTTTTAGCAAACTGGAAACTTTTTTCACCAAAAAGGACACAGACATCTAGAAGTATTCCCAGGAAGTGAGGTCTGCAGGAGGCAATGATGCTGTATTGTCATCTGTATAAAGTAAAGCAGCAGGGTAAAAACAGACGAGACACGACTCACGAAATTGTAATGACACGATTGCAAACAAACCATACCACGGGCGGGGATAGAACCTGCGATCAGAGAGTCTCAAAACTCCAGACCATCGTGTTAGCCACTGGACCAGCTAGCCACAAAAAGATTCATACGACTATGTATATTTCTACACCATAGGAAGGTTAGCATAAGCACCACTGACCACAAATGCAAGTTTTTACAGACAAATCTCTAGCTAGCGTGGCCGTGACGAACTCTAGCTCAAGTCCCCTCAAAGCCGTTAACATGACTCACGAAATCATAATGACACGATTGCAAACAAACCATACCACGGGAGGGGATAGAACCCACGATCAGAGAGTCTCAAAACTCCAGACCTTCCTATGGTGTAGAAATATACCTAGTTGGACGAATCTTATTGTGGCTAGCTGGTCCAGTGGCTAACGCGACAGTCTGGAGTTTTGAGACTCTAATCACGGGTTCTATCCCTGCCCGTGGTATGGTTTAGACCAGACACATTACAGAATACTTGAGCACTCCCATACAACCATCAACTACTGACTTTATATCCACATTGGCAAAAGAGCAACTGACATCCACCTTAGCTGAGTAGAGCCACATTAACCCTCTCTATATACTTCAGTTCAACCCTCTCTACATACACTTCACTGTTAACCTTCTCTATATACTTCAGTGTTAACTTTCTCTACACACTTCAGTGTTAACCTTCTCTACACACTTCAATGTTAACCTTCTCTACACACTTCAACATCAACCCTCACTACACACTACAACATCAACAAGCTACTTTAGAATACAAGGCAACAAACTCTATGTAGGCCTATTGATATTGTAAAACAAAGTTTTTTTGCATAAGTGCATGAAATTAGACACGCTGAATCTTCACTTCAATACACAATTTTAAAATAGCACATAAAAAGATCCACACTTAACACAGCTGTAATAAACTGAATCATTCTTTAAAAAATATCTGCATATTTTACTATGATAAATATACTATAATAAACATGTGCTTATGTATATAGATATTTATGTATAATTCTTTTTGATGAAATATTTATTTTTCATTTTATGTGACTTTAGAATGTTGATTTTTTTGGCTGGCAGGTTGCAGAGAGGTACGGAGGTTAGGCGGGGAGGTGCGGAGGTTAGGCGGGGAGGTGCGGAGGTTAGGCGGGGAGGTGCGGAGGTTAGGCGGGGAGGTGCGGAGGTTAGGCGGGGAGGTGCGGAGGTTAGGCGGGGAGGTACGGAGGTTAGGCGGGGGAGGTATGGAGGTTAGGCGGGGGAGGTATGGAGGTTAGGCGGGGAGGTGTGGAGGTTAGGCGGGGAGGTACGGAAATTAGGCAGGGGAGGTATGGAGGTTAGGCAGGGAGGTACGGAGGTTAGGTGGGGAGGTGCGGAGGTTAGGCAGGGAGGTACGGAGGTTAGGCGGGGGAGGTATGGAGGTTAGGCAGGGAGGTACGGAGGTTAGGTGGGGAGGTGCGGAGGCTAGGCGGGGAGGTACGGAAGTTAGGCAGGGAGGTACAGAAGTTAAGCGGGGGAGGTGTGGAGGTTAGGCGGGGGAGGTGCGGAGGTTAGGTGGGGGAGGTATGGAGGTTAGGCGGGGAGGTACGGAGGTTAAGTGGGAGAGGTACGGAGGTTAGGCGGAGGAGATATGGAGGTTAGGTGGGGAGGTACAGAGGTTAGGTGGGGAGGTACAGAGGTTAGGCGGGGGAGGTATAGAGGTTAGGCGGGGGAGGTATAGAGGTTAGGCGGGGAGGTACGGAGGTTAGGCGGGGAGGTACAGAGGTTAAGTGGGAGAGGTACGGAGGTTAGGCGGGAGAGGTACGGAGGTTAGGCGGGAGAGGTATGGAGGTTAGGCAGGAGAGGTATGGAGGTTAGGTGGGAGAAGTACGGGGGTTAGGCGGGAGAAGTACGGGGGTTAGGTGGGAGAAGTACGGGGGTTAGGCGGGAGAGGTACGAAGGTTAGGTGGGAGGAGGTACGGAGGTTAGGTGGGGGGATGCAGAGGTAAAGTGGGGAGGTTCAGAGGTTAGGTGGGGGAGGTATGGAGGTTAGGTGGGAGGAGGTATGGAAGTTAGGCAGGAGGAGGTATGGAAGTTTTATGGGAGGAGGTATGGAAGTTAGGTGAGAGGAAGCATGGAGGGATGGAAGTTAGGTGGGAGGAGGTATGGAGGTTAGGTGGGAGAAGGCATGGAAGTTAGGCAGGAGGAGGTATGGAAGTTTTATGGGAGGAGGTATGGAAGTTTTATGGGAGGAGGTATGGAAGTTTTATGGGAGGAGGTATGGAAGTTAGGTGAGAGGAGGCATGGAGGTTAGGTAGGAGGAGGTATGGAGGTTAGATGAGGGAGGTGCAGAGGTTAGGTGGAGGGAGGTAGAGTACTGAACTAGCCTGGATCTTTAAGGTGACCATGAATAAGAACATAAGAAAGAAGGAACACTGCAATAGGCCTACTGACCTATGCAAGGCAGGTCCAGTTCTCACACCGGCTTAAGTCAATGCCTTGACCTATTAACCAAACCTCTTTTAAAAGGGGCGTGAATCTGATTTTTACCATACATTTTCTTTTTTGTTACATTTGTGACTTTTCAATTGGAATGTTCACCTATGAAAATCTTTGAAAAGATAATTCAGCACCCACTTTGCAATATTTTTTTTATGCAGGATGAAAACCCTTGGGACCATATATTAAATCCAACTGTTACTCTTTGATTATGGGGGGCTAAACTAGTGTGTTTGAATATCTTCTCTGTGCCCTGGGTGTGATACTATCCTGGCAACTTTCTCATCTGCTATTGTCTTAATTATGACCAAGACCATAATTTTGCTACACTTGTGTTTATATAGCTTACTATTACAATCAACATAGCACTGTGTGGATTTGTTGCTCAGCCCATTAACCTTCCAATCCCGTCAATTTATTGGGGTTTCTCTGTGTTCATACCCAATCAACTTTTCTTAAATTAAGCAAGCCAGAAACTGACTGCTTCCTTTTATTTTTTATCATTTGGAATTAGCACAACTGCCAACCTAACATAGTAAGTTTCTTTACTTGTGTATCCCTGCTAATGAATACTATTGCTAATGTAAAGTGCCAATTCCTAATAATGCACTCTTAATGACTGGAACGATCAGTCAAGTTCATCCAGTAACAAAACATGATAATTCTTAAAAGGTACTGGACGTCCCTTCATATGATTACTATGAGTGAGCTCCGTATGTCCAAATACCAGGTGTACAAGTACTGTTTCCCCACAACCAACAATGAGGGAAACACATCTGCTAGAAATTTAATTGTGGTTTGATTAAAAACTGCTTCTTAATCAAAAACTGACTAACAACACTGCCAATTATTTCAAATGCATCAGGACAGCATTGGAAAAAAGTTGAATAAAGGCAAGTCTCTATGCAAGATAGGAAAGCCCTGAATAGCAGAATTGCAGTCAAGAACTTCACTGCCCTGAATACCATAATGTTAAGATACAGTAAAAGGCATAATCCTTGTATTTGCCAAAGAGGTGACACAGTGATTGCTGAATGCAAAGTAAATACAGGGAACCAAAGTTCTGTAGTAAAGCTACTGTAAAGAAGCTACAACAATGAAAGACACAGACAGAGAAGTGATGTGGATAACAGCATCAAGAAGTGAATGTAACTATTAAATACTGACTGTTTTTTGCCAAGTATCTGTGAATTACACTATCAGGAAAATCTGCTGCATATTACACATCACAGGCTTAAAAATAAATTGTTTACACAGTGGTACCATTCAAGCACAAGTGAAAATAGAGTAACCCCTCTTATAATGTAACACTACATGGTACTGTATGATTTTTGTCTAAACACAACTGGAAAAGTGCATTCATTTTTGAAAATTGCTTGAAAAGCCTTGAAAGTATGCACTACATGCAAAAGAATCAAGATATATGCAAAATTTTAGTAGTCCGCATTGTGGGGATTTTCCCCTCCGACCCAAGTTGGTCCCAATGGTTGGCTGGGATCAATGTGCCTGTTTATCAAACTTCTTGGATCCTCCCACTGCCTTATTTCTTTCAAGAGAAATACTAGTGATGCTGGAGGTGTGAAGTAAATAGAGCAAGAATTACTAGAGGTATTGTAATAAGTGGAGTACAGGCAGCCTGCAATTTTGGTCTGAGAGAATCCACTGTTTGTACAATTCAAAACAATGAGAAAATATGAGATTATGCAATAAGTAGTGAAGATTGTGACCTGGATAAAAGAACATCAAAAAGGTCAATACTGCAGAGTAAAACAGATCAGCAATACATTACAGAATACAGCCTCTCCTCACTTAACGACGGAGTTATATTCCTAAGACCACGTCAGTAAATAAATTCATCGCTAAGTGTTCTAATGTCACCTTTGCACCATTTACAACATTTCTGGTATATTTTAAAATGTTTATACGCTATTGTATTGTATATTGTAATAAACAGAATTGAGGGAATCAGCTGTAATATACAGTAGGGCCCCACTTACATGGCAAGTTAAGTTCTAGGCTATTGCTGTTAAGTGGACATCGCTGGAAAGCAGAACACCATTTTCCTCCACTTTTAAATGCATATAAATGCCAGACAACAAGTTTATACTAACTTATATTAAGTTAGTAATAGAACTATGCTTTAAAAAACACAATAAAAAGTAAAATACATACACAGTACATTCACTACTTACCTTAAAATATTTGTAGCTTTATTAATGTAGGGCAAGAGGTGAGTAGTACTTATTTGTAGAAGTCAGGTGTAGGTAGCTGGTAATTGTAGCCCACCTGAGCTACACCTACCGGCTGCCTACACTGCAGCCCAGAGCCATATTATTACCATCGACATACCTTGTTCACTTAATTTAATTGTCTCTAACAACTACCTTTAGATGCCATCATAAACGAGGGGAGAAGTAATCAATAATTCATGCCGAGAATTGCAAACAAAAGTCGAGTGTTAAGGGGAGTGACTAGGCCAAATGCAGATTCATACACGTTTTCTTTGGTGCTGGACCAGAGAAAACGTAATGTTTTCTTTCCGCCCAGCTACCACATGTGTTTCTTATATAATTTCAAAGAAAATATCATACATGGATTAATGAAAATGTCTATATTAACGTAAAATAAGACACTTAATTTGCCCAAGAGTGATTATTATTACGTACTATTAGTACTACTATGGTGTTAAGACTTGAGGGACACTCTTAGTGATTTTAATGTGTACTTGCATGCCGGCACAGTATGTAAGTATACAGTGGACCCCCGGTTAACGATATTTTTTTCACTCCAGAAGTATGTTCAGGTGCCAGTACTGACCGAATTTGTTCCCATAAGGAATATTGTGAAGTAGATTAGTCCATTTCAGACCCCCAAACATACACGTACAAACTCACTTACATAAATACACTTACATAATTGGTCGCATTCGGAGGTAATCGTTATGAGGGGGTCCACTGTATTTAGGTACAGATACACAAGTACAGTGGACCCCCCGGTTAACGATATTTTTTCATTCCAGAAGCATGTTCAGGTGCCAGTACTGACCGAATTTGTTCCCATAAGGAATATTGTGAAGTAGATTAGTCCATTTCAGACCCCCAAACCTACACGTACAAACGCACTTACATAAATACACTTACATAATTGGTCGCATTGGGAGGTGATCGTTAAGTGGGGGTCCACTGTATTATTATCAAAGCGCATATAAAACAGGCAATAACTTTAAAACACTTGAAATTTTGGAAAGTTTCCAGACAAAATACAGTGGACCCCCGCATAACGATTACCTCCGAATGTGACCAATTATGTAAGTGTATTTATGTAAGTGCGTTTGTACGTGTATGTTTGGGGGTCTGAAATGGACTAATCTACTTCACAATATTTCTTATGGGAACAAATTCGGTCAGTACTGGCACCTGAACATACTTCTGGAGTGAAAAAATATCGTTAACCGGGGGTCCACTGTAGAGAGATGTGCTCACGGAGAATGTAACTGGGTGGGGTGTGCCGTATTAGAAAGACGGGTTGCCGTATAGAGAGTTTTGGTCGAAATTTGAAATCGCCATATAAGCGGAATGCTATAAGGCAAAACACCATAAAGTGGGGCCCTACTGTACGTTATTTATGCTTGCACATGGGTCAGAGAGCCCGTCGAAAGGCTGAGTCATCAGTAAACGAGTATGTTGCTAAATGAGGAGAGGCTGTACACAAGTAGTCCATTGCAGACAACTACTGATATTCCTGCACATCAACACAAACCACAGCCATCCACCTCAGTTCAGTAATGCCAAATTAACCTTCTCTGCACACTTATATGCTAAACAATGACAACTAGACTGTAATGAAAAATAAATTGCAATAATTTGATTCACAAATTTGGAGGTGACTAACATAACCTTATTTCTTCGTCATGTGCTCTTCACTTCAGAGACAATTTCCTTAAGATCCCAATTATCAGGAATGTATTGTAATGAGAGTGTTTACTATTCTCAGGAAGAAGGAACGTGTCTAATGTGGAGATGCAAAACTTTGCAAAAGAAAGGACATAAATGTACCACCAGAACCAAATGCAATAATTAAAAAGGCAAACAAAGCAAAACAAAGCTGAAACAGGGTAGGGCAGGTTCAGTGGGGAGAAATAAATGGGATTAGGTTAAGGGCATCAGAGAGTTAAGAGATAAGGAAGGGGTTGGAAAAATAATTTTGAAGGATTAGCTATGGCAGGAGAAGAGGGAATATAAATGTACAAATTCAAGAATTACAAGGATTAAAATAAGAGTTGGATGCAAAAAGTTTGTTATAATAAGTATTAATGCACCTGGAGAAGAGAGGAGTGTACAGAGAGAGGAGGAGACTTTGGGAGATGTCAAGTGTTTAGGAACCTCTGAACAAAGTGAGAGAATAACTGCAGTTGTGAACCTAAATGCTAAAGTGGGAAAAATGGTTAGAGAGGGTGTGGTAAGTTTGGGGTGCCAGGTGTAAATGATTATGAAGGGCCTTTGACTGAACTTTGTATAGAAAGAGGCTTAGTAATAGGTAATACATATTTTAAGAAACAAAAAAAGGATAAATAAGTATGCGAGTTGTAAAACAGCAGATTGTCGTTTAACACTGTTTTATTTGGCACTCATACTCAAATAACCCGCACATAAAAGACAGAAGCTTACGACGACGTTTTGGTCCGACTTGGACCATTGACAAAGTCACACTAACAGAGAAGGAGCAGGACGGCTATATATAGGCAGAAAGAGGTGGAGGTAGTAGTAGTGGTAGTAGTAGTAGTAGTAGTACAAGAATTGTATATAATACCGACAGGATGAAATGACACACGCACAACACCCGGGCATCCCCACCGTAGACGTTTCGCCATCCAGCCAGCCACTGGATGGCGAAACGTCCACAACAAAGACAACCAGACGCCGCACATGTGTTAGTGTGACTTTGTCAATGGTCCAAGTCGGACCGAAACGTCGTCGTAAGCTTCTGTCTTTTATGTGCGGGTTATTTGAGTATCGTTCCAGTCACGGTATTGTGCCTTTTTGTTATTTATTTTATTTGGCACGTTTTGGTTATAGCATTAATGAAGAATTGTGGTATATTTTTGTATAACACTTTGCAAAATTAACTTAACATGGTTCACTTTGTGGGAGGGGAAAAAATTTGGAGCATGTGTTGCTCGCGGCATACACTCTGCTTGGCTGTGGGCTAAACCACTGAATCAACGGAGGAGACCTACTGCCATCCCCTGCCACCCGTCCCACCATTGTCCCAGCCGGTTCATACGTGTGTAGGACGCCTGCTAGGAGCTACCTGTGTTTATTTTTGTTTGTGGTTTGAGTTTAGATCTTTTAATTGCCATATCTTAAATCTGCCAAGCAATCATGGCACCCAGTAGGCATACAAGCATTGCTGAAAGTGGCAAGAAAAGATTTCAGCGTTTAAGGCTTAGAATTAACGAAGGAAATAGAGATATTAGACAATTAGACAAGAGATAGCCTGTGGCCATAATGGAGCGTCACTTTGTGCAAATAAAACGACCGAGGTAAATCTGAGTTTGTGTGATGACTTACTGATTTACATGACTGACTGACTGATTGACTTACTGATTTGACTGATTTACTGACTTAAAGTTACTTTTTCACTGAAGAGGATCCTGAAATGGTGTCTAGAGCAGTTGATGCCTTACCCTAAGTTGTATAATGTACTGTGGGGTAAAATAGAACAGAAATCCATTACAGAATTCATGCGCACTCCAGTACAACCATCAACTTCAGTACAAGGACCTCTACCATCCACCTCAGCCCAGTAGGACCACAGCATAACTCTCCACTCTCTTCACATTCATCCACAAACACAAGCACCCATAATTTAAGGTAAGAAATACTATTATTTCTGTTACATTTGTAGTCTTAAGCAGTGAAAACAACATAGTACATCACGACAATGAACCACAATTATATATTCACTTTTATTTTTGTAAGATCTGTTGGTCTAAAAAAAAAGTTGTTTGGCTTTTTGGGGGCTCCCAGGAACGTAACCTTATTTTTTCCACAAGTTGTCCAGTTTGTCTAACATGGTTTTAACTACCACAGCATTTTCAGGAATGTAACTACCGTGTTAAACCAAGGTCTACTGTATATGACAGTAGTCTGTTAGGCTATGTATTGGTAAACAAAAGTTGATGGGTAGACTTCAGGATATGCATGTTTATAGAGGGGCAACAAATATATCAGAACACTTTTTAGTTGCAGCTACAGTGAAAGTAAAAGGTAGATGGGATACAAGAAGAATTGCATCAGCAAATAAGAGTGGTGAAGGTTTAAAAACTAAAGAGAAGGCAGTTAGGGTAAGATATAAATAACTATTGGAAGGAAGATGGGCTAGTGTGAGTATAGGCAATGAGGCTGAAGAAGTATGGGTAGACTTAAGAATGCAGTGTTAGTGTTCAGCAGAAGTATGTGGTTACAGGAAAGTGGGTGTGGGAGGTAAGAAGAATGGTGAGGTAAAGAGAAAAAGTTAGCATATCAGAGGTTTTTTACAAAGTATAAGTGTTATAAGGAGGTGTTATGACCAATGTCATAATGTGATTAATTTATATGTATTATCCACTTAATATTATACTCTGGGTTTCTTTAATATTAGCTAAATTAAAGATTCCACTAGTTTATAATATTATCTGATTTAGGAATATACCCGGGTATGATGTATATATATATATCTTGAGTAATGTGTTAGATAGGTACTCCTGGCTAAGGTTTATAACAAGGTATCTCCACTGGTGGGTAGTTTGCACCGCTCTACCCTCTCCCCCTTTTGACGAGTTGATGTCATGAAGGAATTTACTGTATAGTTCAGTTCACTCTCTCTGCTGACTCAGTGTGCATTGACTGAGCTACCCTCCTAGTACTCCGCCTTATTCTCACTTGGATAGAGAATTGGGTTATAGAAACTCCTGATCCAGCTTGTGGTTTATTGTGAAGTCTGCTGACAATCATATACTGTTATCTTCAGGTTACGATGTGACGACCAGTGTCAAGCTTAGAACTTTGTGATATATTCCTTATGCCAGGGAGTTACTCAGAAAAAGTGTTAATTCTCAATATATGTACTTGCACACAAGTAATGTTACTACTGAGGAAGCGATAATATTCCTCTGATCATTGTCAAGTGTAGTGACCATATTGACATGTACATTCTATTTAAGAGTTTTCTTGTGTGAAGGAAAGTTCCTGACAGTGATATTTAATAGATATTTATGAATATCTAAAGTATTTAAGCTTTTAAATAAAAAGAAACTTGAAAAGACTGAGTAACTATTATTTGTGCCTTACATTTCTAAGTTTGGAAACATATCCTTTCATTCTATGAAGTGTGTTGTTACGGAATGCACTAACCTGGCTAAAGATTAAGATTTGAACCGTAACAGGAGGTAGGAGTATATGGAGAGAATAAGAGATAGATTAAGAAAGTAGGGAAGGAATGTAAAAGGAGAGCAAATGAGAGAATGGGTGAGATACTGTCAACAAATTGTGATGAGAATCAGAAAATGTTTTGGAGTGAGATTAATAGGTTGAGAAAACCTAGGGAATGAATGGATTTGACAGTTAAAAATAGGAGAGGAGAGTTATTAGATAGAAAGTTGGAGGCATTAGGTAGATGGAGAGAATATTTTGAGGAACTGTTAAATGTTGATGAAGATGGGGAATCTGTGATTGTGTCCACTGGGCATGGAGGTATAACATCTTGTAGGAGTGAGGACGAGGCAGATGTTAGTGTGGGGGAAGTGCATGAGGCTGTGGGTAGAATAAAAGGGAAGTAAACCAGCTGGGATTTATGGGATAAAGATGGTAATGTTAAAAGCAGGTGGGAATATAGTTTTGCAATGGTTGGTGCTTTTATTTAATAAATGTACAAAAGAGGAGGAGGTACCTAGAGACTGGCAGAAAGCATTTATAGTTCCTTTGTAGAAAGGCAAAGGAGACAAGTGAGAATGTAAAAAATTATAGGAAAGTAAGTCTGTTGAGCATACCTGGTAAGATGTATGGTAGTTATTATTGAAAGAATTAAGAGTAAGATGGAGAGCAGGATTTTGAGTGAATAAGGAGGCTTTAGGAGGTGTGTAGAACAAGTGTTTACAGTGAAGCATATAGGTGAACAGTATTTACATAAAGGTTTTCATTGCATTTATGGATTTGGAAAAGACATATGATAGGGAAGCACTGTGTCAGATGTTGCAAGTGTATGGAATAGGTGGTAAGTTACTGAAAGCAGTTAAGAATTTTTACTAGGATAGTGAGACACAGGTTGGAGTATTTAGGAGAGAGGGATATTATTTCCCAGGATGCATGACCCTTATCTAAATACCTTGTGGCGTTCTGCTAATACGGACATTTCAAATTATGACCAAAACTTGCTATATGGTTCCTCCACCTGACTTTCTAATACGGTCACCATGCCCCACCTGGTTTGTTTACATTTTCTGTGAGCACGACTCTCCATTACGTCTGGAAGCTTTCCAAATTTCAAGCGTTTTAAAGTTATTTTATATATACGTACTCTGATAATTATACTTGTGTGTATTTGAACAGTGGACCCTCTGTTTTTGCTACCCTCTGATTTCGTGATTTTCGGTTATCGCCGACTTTTTTTGTCACAATATAGTCTCTGTTGTCGCTAATTTCCTCTGGTTTTGCCGGTTGTACAGAACACACCCGAGTCCCCACACACACAAAGCCTCCCACACACCATTCTGAATCAGTGTGGCATTGTTTCTTGGCAAGTGAACATTACCCTGCCAGGTTATACAAAACATTTCATAATCCATTATTTTTTGTGCTTGTTTATTGTGTGTAACTACTAAATAAGCCACCATGGCCCAAAGAAAGCTCCTAGTACCAGCCCTTTGGTGGAGAAGGTGAGAAACGTGATAGAATTCAAGAACTCATAGCAAAGTACCAAAGTGGAGGAGGAAGAGAGAAGGGAGAACGTGCCTTCCTCAGTGATTCTGCAATATGTATGATACTAAAGCAGCAGGAGTCGATAAAGACTACAGCACCAGCCAGCGACAAAGTGTTGCATTATCGGTGTAGCAAGTAAGTTAAGCGATTAAGTGATAGAAAAGACAACACGAAACTAACTCCTCCAATGTTGTTGGAGGTATACAGGGCCAATGACAACATATGCCGCACTGAGTATCTTCCACCACCCTAAACCTCTGCCAGCATCTCCAAGGTGTGTGTAAATATTGTAAATATTTCTTATTTATGAATTACTTACATTGTTTCACTGTAATTAATGGTGGTGGCCTCTACTGCCACCACCACCACTATATGTATGGCTTATGCTGTCAGTGGCCCTTATAAACCCAACAATAACACCACCGCCACTCGTCACATACGCAATGACATATTTTATTCATTCTAGTGTATATATCATGCTTCTACAATATTAACATTGTTTACTATGTCATATTAGATGAATTATGATAAATAAATAAGCCGCAGAGTTGATATTAGCGTCATATTGTTGATATTAGCATCATATTGAAGCATTTTGTCCTGTCTCCAAACAAACTTGCCTCCCTCTCCCCTCCTCACTCTTTTCCATATGCCAACAGGAGTCTTCAATAAAGGTAAAAGTGATTTAACCCTTTCAAGGTTGAGAGGCCCTCTCAGAGACTTGTTCTTAGGGTTGGCCAAATTTCAAAAAAAAAAAAAAAAATTCTTATGAAAAGATAGAGAATCTTTTCTCGATCATAATGACACCAAAAGCATGAAATTTGATGGAAAACTTATGGAATTATGCTCTCGCGAAGTTAGCAGTCTCGACGATGTTTACGCATCAGCGATTTTGCCCACTTTGAGCCCTATTTTCGGCCAATTCCAGTGTACTTGTCGACAAAAATCATAACTATTTCGCTAGAACTCCATTTTTTCTATTGAATGAGTACAAGAAACCACCCATTTACTGATTTCAACTATCCAATACAGTGGTCAGAATTTAGCAATTTTGCCAATTTCACACAAATTTCAGAAGATGCCAATTTCCGAATAGGGTCCAGAATAAACAAGAAAGACATTCCTGGCACTAAAATAACATTTCCTCTGTTCAGTAGTCATGTCCCCATGCCCCTCTTACATTCTTTTGCTTTCCACTTTGAATTTTTATTCTCACAAAAAAATAGAAGATTTACTGTTATGCAGACTACTGCATTAGTGTAGAAATGGTATAAATAATATCAGCGCACTTGTGAAAGAATATTAGACTCACCAGTTGATGTGTATTAAATGTATAGCATGATTTGTTTACTTTTGAACTTTGGTAAAAATCGAACATTTCTGCTACTTTGAGCTCAATTTCAAGATGCTTTTCTTTGTAAAACCAGTCAAAATCATCTCAATTTCTGAAATATGTCTTCCATTCTATAAAATGAGACCAGGAAAACTAGAATACAACAATAAATACCATACAAAAATACAGTGCAAAGTCGATGTTTTAATCCAAAAACACAGTCAGTTTTTTTTTTTTCTCATTACGCACTGTGTGCTGCAGGATTTTTTTTATACTGTGCACACTGACCACAAACCCATTCTTTCATATGTAGGCCTACCAGCTTTCTCTCACTAGATTTGAGGGCGCTAAAATTTAGGTGTACTAGTACAGTGGACCCCCGCTTAACGATCACCTCCAAATGCGACCAATTATGTAAGTGTATTTATGTAAGTGCGTTTGTACATGTATGTTTGGGGGTCTGAAATGGACTAATCTACTTCACAATATTCCTTATGGGAAAAAATTCGGTCAGTACTGGCACCTGAACATACTACTGGAATGAAAAAAGTTCGTTAACCGGGGGTCCACTGTACGTCAAAAACCTTGATGCATAAGCCGTACTAGTACTGCCGAAATCCTGAAAGGGTTAAATGTTCATTTATCCATTTCATTAGTGTTTTATATTTATTTCTCATTGTTTTCTTATTATAAAACTATATTCTCTAAAAAATGTATTTTTTGTTAATACTTTTGGGTGTCTGGAATGGATTAATTTGATTTACATTATTTCTTATGGGGAAAATTATTTCAGTTTTTGTAATTTTCGAGTTTCGTCAGATTCTCTGGAATGGATTAATTATGAAAACCAAGGGTCCAGTGCACCTAAATAAACTTACACACTGTGCTGGCATGCAGGTACACATTAAAATCACAAAGAGTGTCTTATTAATCTTGGAGACACTGTATTAAAAATGATAAAAAAAAACACAATAATAATTACTCTGAGCTGCATTAAATGTTGTATAAAACATTAATATAGACATATTGCTTAATCCATCTATGATATTTTTTCAAAATTATTTAATAAACAGCTACATAACATATAAACATGATAAATACAACCTACAACAGAATAAATTAAAAAAATATTAGATGTTGTTCCAGTCGTCTTGTCAGAAAGAATAACAATTTCTTTGGTTCAACACCAAAGAAAATGTGTACACAATAGTATTACTGGGGGTAACTGTAGAAAATTATGCCTTTTGTATGCCTTCATTAAGGGCATCATTCCTTCTAAAAATTGTGTGCTACATGAGAATGAGTGTGTTGCTCTTTATTTATTTTACTGTACCAACAAGGAGACAACTTGTACTCAACATCAGGCATTTTTATTATGATATAAGCTTTACAAATATGGAAATGAACATGTATCAACCCACCAGTGACATTGTTTACATACTCTGCAGCTCTGTCCTTTCTCATTTACTCATTCTCTCTCTCTCTTGTTTAATCATTTTTATCTCGTTTACTCACCTCTCATCCTACATTAACCCTTTCAGGGTCCGTCCCGTAGATCTACGGCTTTACGTTCAGGGTCCAAACCGTAGATCTACGTCATGAGCTCAGCTCTCTCTGATAAACTGTGAGTGGTACATTTGGGCCTAGATATGAGAGAATACATCTATGTGGTATGCGTGCACCACAAAACAAATCCTGCAGCACACTGTGTATAATGAGAGAAAAAAAAATGAGACCATGATTTTTTATTAAAACAGCGACTTTGCAGTGTTTTTTTCGTATGTTTTTTATAGTTGTATTTGTGATTTCTTGGTCTCATTAGATAGAATGGAAGACATATTACAGAAATAGAGATGATTTTGATTGGTTTAAGCACTGGAAATGGCTTGAAACTGAGCTCAAAGTAGCAGAAATGTTAAATTTTTGCTGATGTTCAAGAGTAAACAAACGACCTCACATGTCTAATACACGCCAGCTGGTGGGTCTAATATACATTCACAAATGTGGTGATGATATTTATACAATTATTACAATATTGCATAACAGTAAATCTTCTATTTTTTGGTGTGAATAAAAATTCATTATGTGAATAAAAAATCAAAATGGAATCTATTTATAAAGCCTCAAAACATAACTAATGAACAGAGGAAATGTTAGTTTAGTGCCAGGAATACCTACATTGTTTATTCTGGACCCTATTTTGAAATTGGAATATTTTGAACTATGTTAAATTGGCCAAATTACCAACTTACGATCAATTTATTTTGTAGTTGAAACAGTTGACTTGGCGATTTCTTGTGCTCAATCGATAGAAGTAATACTAGTGAAATAGCTAAGAATTTGGTCGACTGGAATAAAGTAATTGGCCTAAAATGGGAGTCAAAGTCGGCAAAATAGCCGATTCGCAAATATCCCTGACACATCAAAATTCGCGAGAGCATAATTTCGTCAATTTTCCATCAAATTTCATACTTTTTGTTTTATTACCTTCACAAAAAGATTCTCAAGCATTTCATAAGAAAAAATAACTAATTTTTTTTTTAAATTCTTGGACACTGGGGCACCACTTCAGATTTTGGCCTTGGACCCTGAAGGGGTTAAGACTTCAAATATTTTAAGGTAAGTAATGAGTGTACTATATATGCATTTTATTTCTCTATGGTGATTTAAATGTTGTAGTACATGTATATTACATGTAAGTGGGGTGGCCAGGGAGGCTACCATACCTCCCTCAACTGACTTTTTACAAATAAATACTGTTCACCTCTCACCCTACATTAAGACTACTGCTAACTTAATATATGTTAGTGTAACCTTATTATCTTGCATTTATATACATTTATAAGCAGAAAAAATGGCGCTCTGCTTTCCGGCGATATCCGCTTTCTGGCGGTAGCCTGGAACCTCACCTGCTGTTTAAGTGGGGCCCTACTGTATTTATAGATGGGGTTGTAAGAGAAGTGAATGCTTGGGTGTTGAGAAGAGTTGTTGGATTACGAGTGGGAGTTGTCACAGTTGCTTTTTGCTGATAGAATGAAAGACTGACTTCGAAGGCGTATAAATCTATTGTGGAAGGAAGGCGGGGTAGGGGTCGTCCTAGGAAAGATTGGAGAGAGGAGGTAAAGGTTTTGTGTGTGAGGAGCTTAGACTTCCAGGAAGCATGCATGAGCGTGTAAGACAGGGGCGAGTGGAGGTAAATAGTTTTCATGACTTGACATGTTGTTGGAGTGTGAGAATTGTAACATTTATGAAGGGATTCTGGGAAACTGATTTGCTGAGCTTGAGTCCTGGAGGCAGGAAGTACAGTGCCTGTGCTCTGAAGGACGGGTGGAGATACATTGCAGTTTTTGAACTGTAGTGTAGGCACACCTCTGGCAAGACAGTGATGGAGTGAATGATGATGACGATGAAAGTGTTTCTTCTTTTTCGGGTCACCCTGCCTCAGTGGGAATCAGCTGATGTGTTAATAAAAAAAATAAACCCTCAGTGGGAAATGGGCAATGCATTAATAAAAAAAATATACAGAAAAGGAAGTATAAGTGAGGTAAGCAACAAGAACCTGAAAGTAGAGACTGAAGGACTGTAACATAGGTGATGATTGTAAAAGCAATTTTAATAATATCAGTGGTAATTTTAAAGGTTGCAGGATCATGAAGGCCATGGAAGCTAAAAAGACAGCGGAAATGATAGGCATGACTGCAGTCTGTTAAGGAAGGAACATTAGGATATGCATATAAACTTCTGACTGGGAACAAAGAAAAGGCTCTAGACACAAATGCACTTCCTGAAGAAGAATGACACCAGGTCCAAAAAAAATTAATGTACAGAAGCCTAAAGAGAATTTGCCTATTACTACCTCAGAAACAATGAGAAAATTCTAAATAAATCCAGTCTATTACATGCAACTTTCAGGAAGCTTACAAAATTTGATTTGCATACTAAGCACCTAAGGATGTGAGGTGTGGTTCAAGTGGTATTACAGTCAACTGTCGCTTATCAATGTCAACTGACTGTACCAGTATGAGTAATGGCAAAATCATTCAAATTTAACATATATAAAACTATATTAGGTAAAATCATTGTGCACTTTATATTCTTCTGGGCTACCTCCTGCCTGAGCAAAGGCTTGGCTGGCAAAGACTGTTATTAAGCCAAACACAAAAGTGTCTGCCATAAATGCCTTGGAACAAGAGTTCCAGTTAGTCTCTAGACTAAAAGAATGTACTTGGGACAAGATGTGATATTATCCAATGTATAATTATTTTTTCTAGGTCAAAAAATGAAGACAATAACATCCTGGCATTCAAAAAAGGCATGATGACCGTACACAAGATAGTGGAGTAGCCAAAAAGCTTTAAAGTCTCTAGGTACCATATAACTTTAAATGTCCTTTGCAATTTGCAAATAAGAGGGTAATTACTTGAAATGTTATCCAACTTATGAGGTGTGCTAGAAAGTCTATGTTGAAGCAACACCTGGGTACAATAATTTCAGATAACCTATCATTTAGAAAACACAAGGTAAATGCTGCCAAAACCAGAAAAATGAGAGGGTGAATAACAAGAACTTTCAAAACAAGAAAATAATGTCAATGGTGACACTACTGAAATCACTTGTGCTTTTTCTCTTGCCTAAAGACCACTGTCTGACTGACTGTTCCATTCAAAGCACCTGTAATATACCTGTGACCAGTTTCAATAATCTTCCTATTCACGCAGCCTAGCCCAGGGACAGGCTTTTCCATTGTTTGTCTGGTTAATCTATAGGTAGTAGGTTGGTAGACAGCAACTGCCCAGGGAGGTACTACCATCCTGTCAAGCGAGTGTAAAATGAAAGCCTGTAATTGTTTTACATGATGGTAAGATTGCTGGTGTCCTTTTTTTCTGTCTCATAAACAGGCAAGATTTCAGGTACATCTTGCTACTTCTACTTACACTTAGGTCACACTACACATACATGTACAAGCACATATATACATACCCCTCTGGGTTTTCTTCTATTTTCTTGCTAGTTCTTGTTCTTGTTTATTTCCTATCTCCATGGGGAAGTGGAACAGAATTCTTCCTCCGTAAGCCATGCGTGTCGTAAGAGGCGACTAAAATGCCGGGAGCAAGGGGCTAGTAACCCCTTCTCTTGTATATATCACTAAATTTAAAAGAAGAAACTTTCGTTTTTCCTTTGGGGCCACCCTGCCTCGGTGGGATACAGCTGGTACGTTGAAAGAAAGAAGAAAGCCTGGTTAACCAGACAACTGCTGTTGGTGGCCCACTGTGTCACATATTCATCACCAGTGACATATTTAGCAGAGACAATGATTTGAGTCTCCTCATGAAAACTACACTCATTCCAGCAATATTTCTGATATCTGCTGGTAGCAGACTGAGCAGCTGCAGACCATGGATTGTAATACAATATTCTATTTTGTGTCCATTACACCTCTGCTCTTCACTGAGTGTATTTTACATTTATGCTATAATGAGAAAAAGGGAAATGATTGTTGTTGTGGAGATCATTTGTTAAAAGTCAAATCAATATCAAACACCATAGAAGAAGCAGACAGAGAGATCTACACACAAGGGAGAGATTACAGGTGTGGGAATCTAGATGTGTTGGAACAGTCACATAACCAGGAGACAACTGAATCATCTAATCTAGCATAAAATAAAGATGAAAGCATCCTTGACAATAAACAAGAAGCCACTAATCAACCCTGAGAAGTGATCCTTTTTCGTGTGATGAATAGTGCAATTATTCTCAAAAATAATCTCCAGCCCTAACCAGGTTGACACCACCAAAAGTAATTGAGCAAGGCTTATCAAAACCATATATTTAGACAAGAGTAATTGTCTTTCAGGAAGTAATGGCAGAGGACAAACCAGAAAAAAAGCCAGCAGTACCCCCATTTTAAATGGGTTATGAATCCAAGGCCAGGTTGGAGGCGGGGATGATAAAGATCTGGAATAATGTCATAGGTAGTTGTATCGGTCGTGGTATCTTTCAGGAAACTTCTTACTGGCTGTTACAAGAGCAGTTAATAAGCCTCTAATGCACTGTGGAAGATGCCAGGGCTGTGATTAAAAGACAATCAGTTAGTTGATAAATTTCATTCTGTCCAGCATACTTAACTTACATTAGGGTGAAGTTTGAAAGGAAAGCTCCATCCTGCCACTGGGGGCATTGCTAATCAACCCACATTACAATTATTATTTTATGTCTTTAAGATGCTGGTGGTCCTATATGAGCACAAAAATAATTTGACTACAAAATCAAATTTCATTTTATCTAGTCACAAGAGTCCCAGAGACAGAGAGAAATACTGTATACAAGTTAGTCCTTGGATTTCTGCAGGCCATGGGGTGATCAGACTTAGTTACCCCAGAACTGAGGTTTTAGCCCAAGGTTGGGGTTGGTTGACCCTGATTAGAGCCAGCTTTACTGAGTTTTGAAGAGACCACTGATAATACCAAAATAAAGATACTGACTACACATCACTGACACTCAAGTATATAACTGTTACACAACTTTTACTCAAAGACAGTGCGTCACCACCATAAGTACACTGGCACCAAGACAACAAGCATCCATCCACACCCACAGGGATGGCACCACTGGCACCATGACAAACATCTATCCACACCCACAGGGATGGCACCACTTGCACCATGACAAGCATCCATCCACTCCCACAGGGATGGCACCACTGGCACCATGACAAGCATCCATCCACACTCACAGGGATGGCACAACTGGCACCATGACAACAAGCATCCATCCACACCAACAGGGATGGAACCACTGGTACCATGACAACAAACATTCATCCACACCCACAGGGATGGCACCACTGGGCTCCCAACAGAGGGCTAGTAATAGTACCTCAGTTCTACATCACCCTCTTTCCTTCAGGAGTGAGTGAGTGGGTCATCTGAGAAAACTTTTATCAGGATGCTGTTCCTGATGAATAAATGACAAATGAAAGTCTCTTAGCAGCAATGTGACCAGAAGATAGAAGTCCCATAAAAGGACTTGCATCACAAAAGGGCTTTGAAAAACCTTAAAGACCAACAGACTGAGGTAAGTAGGTAAGTCTGAACCTGCCAGCCAGAAGTGTTGTCATGCATGACAAACAGCAGAGGACAGTTGTTGATCAACCTCTGTATGTACAACTTCACTGTATAGGAAGTTGCAGGCAATGCAGTTTACTATGCCCAAGTGCTGACCCACAAAGGGCTAAGGGCTAGTACCCAATTTTTTTCTAGATAGTCCTAGTTAAAAATTTTTTTTTTTTTTTTTGGTTACAGCTTTTTCCCCTTATATTAAGTTTCACAATAATTTTTTTGCATATTAATACCACAAGAACAGTCACTACATTGTATCTCCAATTATACAATCTAATGATATTATCATAGCTGCTAAAACCTTCAGTACCTTGAGCACTTACCCAGGCTCCTTACATATACACTTTACTAGCTCCAATTTTGTAGTGTATTCTAATCAAACAACACATTTACATGATAAGTATATGATTTAACCCTTAAACCATGTCAGACCAGGAACGGTGTGTAGACAGAATGAAAATTAAAAAAAAAAAAAAAAAAAAAAGAATATCTTACCATTTAAAATTTTTCAGTTTTTGAAAGCAAACTTAAAATAATGAAAGACGGAAGAAAGTTTACCAATTTATAGTGTTGAAGTGGGTAAAATACATCAGTGATCGTCAACACCAGAGTAAATACTCATAGGAGTACTCACACTTTCCAATTAACTTAAGCCAAATTTATAGTATTTATAAATGTTTTGTTTTCAATGTTCAAAACAATGTACAGTGTTTAAAAGAGTTTTAGCACTTGAAAAATGCAGAGAAGCACAGCAAGTCTTAGCCCAAATTCCAATATTCGCTGTAAATTCTACAATTTTTGTCTTATTTTCAGTGGTTGTATCTGTCTTCTAATACTACCTACAAGGAAATCTTGTGATATTTCAATAATGTCAAATTGTAATACTCCTTAAAATGTAGAAACAAGTCATATTGTTTGTTTGACTTTTGTTTTTTTTTGATGATCCTATGTTAAATTATCTACATGTTTTGGCTGAATTCCACTGTTAAGATTATAAAATTGCAATAAATTTGAAACAAATTTATTATAGTTTCTTGCCAGCTTGAAACCCTATCAAAGTCTGATAATCCTCAAAATTGGAAAACAAGCCACATTGCCTTTATTGGCAAATCCTGAGAAAATAAATTACATGCTCAAGTGTGCATTGACTGAATTCCAAACTAATAAATTTAGAACAAGCAAGGCATCTTTCTGCCAGTACCATACTATGTTTGCTGGGAAGAATGTAATTAGGGCAAAACAAGTCTTGTCTGTGTTGTTAACATGTGCTTCTGAGACACTGTCTCCTCATGATACACTAGTGAACCACCTGGTCCTGTACTGTTTCACCATGATACACTATGTGGACCACTTGGTCCTGTACTGTTTCACCATGATACACTATGTGGACCACTTGGTCCTGTACTGTTTCACCATGATACACTATGTGGACCACTTGGTCCTGTACTGTTTTACCATGATACACTATGTGGACCTAACTGGTCCTACAGTTTTTTCCTAGGCAAGAGGTGGTGGTAGGTAATCCAAATGGTTGACCCAAGACCTAAAATGGTGACTCACAGCAAAGTTGAAGGCACGAAAAAATTGGGCATACACTGTGAGTCATACACAGCCAAGTCCACAAATGCATGAACCAAGACATACACAGCTCAGTCCCCGAATGTATGACCCAAGTTATACACAGTCTAGTCCCCAGATGTATGATTCAAGTCATACACAGTTTAAGGGTTAACAGACCTTGATTTAACAGACTCTGGAAATACGAGACAAAACCCACGTAGAAACAACAATGTTGGTTGGTTACACACATTTTGATATATCTTTGACGAGTTTCAAGAGTTTTTCTACTCCCAGAGCCTGGCCCGGGGTCATTACTGTTACTGTCACAACTGCCACCTACTCCACCTATCAGTATGTATTCTCTAATATGAGTTTCTCATGCATTTTACTAAATGATTTATAAAATCTTTTAAGACACAATGAGCACAGTAATATTTTTCACACAAAATGAACTCTCATCCACTTAGAGAATTAATTTGGTTTCTTTCCTATATGATTTTTCATGTGATTTATTAAATATATTTACTGCAATAGAAAAATCTCTGGCGCTAAACACTGATATCATTATCTCCAGTATGCCTTGCCATATGTCTAGCTAAATTTGATTTACTCGAATAGAATTTTAAACACTGTGAACACTGATGTGCTTTCTCTCCTGTATGATTTCTCATGTGATTTACTAAATCATACTTATTGGAACAAACTTTGTCACACTCTGAACACTGATACGGCTCCACTACTTGCGTATGAATTCTCATGTGTTTCGTTAAATCAGATTTATCAGAGAAATCTTTTTGACATTTTGAACACTGGTATGGCTTCTCTCCAGTATGAATTCTCAAGTGTTTTACTAAATCAAATTTATTTGAGAAGCGCTTGGAACATACTATGCATTGATAAGGTTTTACCCCGAGATGATTTTTGAGGTGTTTTATTAAATTAGATTTTGTTGAAAAATCTTTTACACACAAAGAACAATGAAATGGGTTTATTCCTGTATGAACTCTCATGTGAGTAATTAAACCAGCTTTATATGAAAAGTTTTTTGGACATTCTGTACACTGAAATGGTTTCACTCCGCTATGAAGTCTCATGTGTCTTACTAGGTAAGTTTTTTGCAAAAACTCTTTTTGACACAAAGAACATTGGTATGGTTTTGGTCCTGAATGAATATCCATGTGTTTTAATAAATCAGAATTAAGTGAAAAATCATTTTGGACCAATAAATCCTGGTGTGGTTTATCTTCCATATGAATTGCTCTGTGTGATAGCAACTCAGATATGGTTGGAAAATCTTTTACACACTCTAAGCATTGGTATGTCTTAACTTCTGTTGCTGGAGCAGAGTTCTCTTCAAGTATTTCAGAGTTCTCTTCTGAAGGAACTTTAATTTCTGTTGCCAGAGCAGATTCAAGTATTTCATATGCTTTCTCTTCTGAATGACTTTCTACTGGAACAGATTCTTCCTCAGGTATTTCATGTGCTTTCGTTTCTAAATTAATTGTAAGTTCTGTTGCTGGAGCAGCAGCAGCAGCAGTTTCTTCTTCCAGTATTTCAGACATGATGAACACACTTTTCAATATATCCTCACATTTATTTTAGTGGACTTTTTGTGAAAAATTGATAAACAAAAATCGAATGTCTCTTCTCTGTGAGACTGTTTCTAAAAATATCTTTGACAAAGGCTATAAACCCATGTGAACACTGATATAATTCTGTAAAAAACTCTATGCACTGTAATAGATTTTCACAGTTTTGTAAAGCTTCCTACATTTATATTGTATATATTAGAAAACATTATGTCAACAATACAATAAATTCTATTCAAAGTTTTAAATAATGATACAGTTCTTTCAGTACAGCCACACTATACATGGGTAAATAATTTACTTTGCTTAAATTCACTGATATGTTACCTAAATGAATTTCTTATAATCATGAACTTGTAAAAAAATTATTATTTTTCCCTGTCTCTTTCCTCGATATGTAGTCTACATACATTATTGCACCCTGAAATAGCTTTGAATTACCTTACTTTAACTCATGTATACCGACATAAGACAGCGTACAGAAGTGAGTTCATAAAAGCGAGGTTTTATTCAGTAAGGAATGAGGAGAGTGTCTGCAGCCGCGGGTGTTTGTCGTGTGACATCATGATTCATTCAGCTGTTAAACACCTGCTGTTGTACCACAACTTGAGTTTCCATCACATCTAAAAAAAAAAATAAGGGATCAAAACTACATCAGTATACACATCTTCAGAGATAAAATTTAATATGATAATGACAACTAAAAGTAAGAATAAATCAAGAAATCATAACCAGTGCTATATCCTATTGAATTATTATTTTTCTAAGAGTTAACATGTTATACAGCATGAGGAATGTCATTATTCCTTCAAAAGTGCAGCTATTAATAGAATAGGACACAATGATAAAAACAAGGACTGTTTATACATGAAAATGTGATTATTATAACTGGAGTTGTAAGAGAAGTGAATGCGAAGGTCTTGGCAAGAGGTGTGGAGTTAAAAGATAAAGAATCAAACACAAAGTGAGAGTTGTTATAGTTGCTCTTTGCTGATGACACTGTGCTCTTGGGAGATTCTGAAGAGAAATTGCAGAGGTTGGTAGATGAATTTGGTAGGGTATGTAAAAGAAGAAAATTAAAAGTGAATATAGGGAAGAGTAAGGTGATGAGGATAACAAAATGATTAGGTGATGAAAGATTGGATATCTGATTAGAGGGAGAAACTATGGAGGAGGTGAATGTGTTCAGATATTTAGGAGTGGACTTGTCAGCAGATGGGTCTATGAAGGACAAGGTGAATCACAGAATTGATGAGGGAAAAAGGGTGACTGGTGTACTTAGGAGTCTGTGGAGACAAAGAACTTTGTCCATGGAAGCAAAGAGGGGAATGTATGAGAGTATAGTTATACCAACACTCCTATGTGGGTGTTAAGCATGGGTGATGAATGTTGCAGCGAGGGGAAGGCTGGAGGCAGTGGAGATGTCGCGTCTGAGGGCAATGTGTGGTGCGAATATAATGCAGAGAATTCATAGTTTGGAAATTAGGAGGTGCAGGATTACCACAACTATTATTCAGAGGGCTGAGGAGGGGTTGTTGAGGTGGTTCGGCCATGTAGAGAGAATGGAACAAAACAGAATGACTTCGAGAGTGTATAAATCTGTAGTGGAGGGAAGGCGGGGTAGGGGTCAGCCTAGGAAAGGTTGGAGGGGGTAAAGGTTTTGTGTGTGAGGGGCTTGGACTTCCAGCAAGCATGCGTGAGTGTATTTGGTAAGAGGGAATGGAAGCAAATGTTTTTTAATACTTGACGTGCTGTTGAAGTTTGAACAAAGTAATATTTATGAAGGGATTCAGGGAAACCGGCGGGCCGGACTCGAGTCCTGGAGATGGGAAGTACAGTGTCTGCACTCTGAAGGAGGGGTGTTAATGTTGCAGTTTCAAAACTGTAGTGTAAAGCACCCCTCTGGCAAGACAGTGATGGAGTGAATGGTGAAAGTTTTTCTTTATCGGGCCACCCTGCCTTGGTGGGAATTGGCTGATGTGTTAATAAAAAAAATAAAACAAGAACAGCAACAATTTGGAATGTAATACAGGCATTCCTCACTTAACAACCAAGTTCCATCCCTACAACAAGGTTGTTAACCCCTTCGGTATTGGTTCCATCATATTAACCCTATGACTGTTTCAGTCATATATATATACATCTTACCAGCAAATGTTTCCGACGTATTAATACACGTATTATTATTATTATTATTATAATCAAAAAGAAGCGCTAAGCCACAAGGGCTATACAGCGCTGCAGGGTAGGGAAGGAAGCAAGGGAATTGGATGGCAGAAGGGAGGGGGGATGATCAGCAGGTTACAGAAAACAGCGGGGCAGGGGATAGTACGGGGGTAGAGGGTAGCAAGAGATTGAAGTAGAAAGGGCTGAAGGTATCAGATTTTGTGAAGTCAGTCAGTTGTTGTCAAAAAGTCAATGAGAGAGTCCGGATGAAAGGTGGGTCCATCAGCGAGAAGGGAAGGTAAAGAGAGAGCAGCGGAGCGAAGACGACGACAGAGGTAAATTCTGCGTGCTCGTTGATAAAGTGGGCAGTCCAACAGAATGTGGCTGACTGATAATGGAGCTTGGCAATTCTCACAGAGAGGAGCAAGACGCCTCTCCATGAGATATCCATGAGTAAGACGAGTATGGCCAATGCGAAGACGGGAGAGAGTAGTCTCCCAACCTCGACACTGGTGATACGAAGACGGCCAGTAACCTATACTCGGTTTAATAGATTGAAGTTTGTTGCCGAGCATAGTAGACCAACGTTGTTGCCAACGGGTGTGAAGGTGGGAAGATATTGCAGTAAAATAGTCCGTAAATGGAATACCTCTATAAGAAACTGGTAGGTCATGTACTGCTGACCGCGCAGCAGTGTCTGCCTGTTCGTTGCCCTGTACGTCAACATGACCAGGGACCCAACAAAAAACAATATCTTTATGCTTGGTAAAGATGTGGCGTAGCCAAAGTTGGATACGGAGGACTAAGGGGTGAGGTGTATCAAATTTTTGTATAGCCTGTAAAGCACTAAGGGAGTCTGAGACAACCACAAATGATGACACAGGCATAGATGCAATACGGATAAGTGCTGTAAGGATGGCATATAATTCAGCAGTAAAAATACTAGCCGAAGATAGTAAATGCCCTTGTACGACGCTGTCCGGAAACACTGCTGCGAATCCTACGCCGTCAGAAGACTTAGAGCCATCTGTGTACACAGCAATGGCATGAGAATGAGAGTGAAAGTGGTCAAGAAAAAGAGAGCGGGAAGCGACCGTAGACAGTTGGGCTTTCGAGCAAGGGAGGGAGAAAGAACAGACTCGAACAGCTGGAACTTCCCAGGGGGGTAGGGAAAAGTGAGATGCTACATGTACATAGAAAGGTGGTAGTTGAAGAGAAGACAAGAGCGAATGAAGGCGAAGAGAGAAGGGACAGAGTAAACAGGGGCGGCGAACAAATAAAGAATGTCTACTAATATCAGTGACCATTCTATAAATGGAAGGATTGCGGAGATCATGAGAGCGTACATAGTAGCGCAGGCAATGGGCATCACGGCGATCGGATAAGGATGGAACGTTCGCTTCTGCATAGAGGCTCTCGACAGGGGAAGAGCGAAAAGCACCAAGGCATAAACGTAATCCTTGGTGATGAATGGGGTTAAGGCTAGAGAGAGTAGCAGGAGATGCCGCTGAATAGATCTGGTCACCATAATCAAGTTTCGATAAAATAAGGGTGGAATGTAGGCGAAGGAGGGTTCGACGATCAGCTCCCCATGAAAGATGAGCAAGGGTTTTAAGAAGGTTCAGCCGGCTGTGACAAGTTGCCTTCAGAGAGGTAATGTGAGTTTTTCAGGATAACCTACGATCAAAGAGGAGGCCTAGAAACTTGACTGTATCACGTTCAGAGATACGGGAGCCATAGAGGTACAAAGGATGATCGGAGATGACAGAGCGTCTAGTGAAAGTGATTTGGTGGGTTTTAGTGCTGGAAAATTTAAACCCACGTGTGGTGGCCCAATTGGAAACACGGTCGACTGCATGTTGGAGAGAAACTGTAATGAGGTGACAGTCAGCGCCTGCACAGGCAATAGCGAAGTCATCAACATAGAGTGATGACCAAATATTTGATGGAAGACTAGAGGCCAAATCATTAATAGCAAGGAGAAAAAGTGTTGTGCTCAGAACACATCCCTGGGGGACACCTTCAGCTTGGATAAAGTCCAGGGAGAGCACATTATTAACCCGAACACGGAAACGCCTGTCAGTTAAAAAGTTCTTAAGGAAGGATGGTAGATTGCCTCGAAGGCCTAAGGAGTGGGCTTGGGCTAAAATATTATACCTCCAAGTTGTGTCATATGCCTTCTCAAGGTCAAAAAATATGGCAATAACTGAGTGGTTATTCGCAAAGGCATTACGAACATACGTATCCAAGCGTAGTAAGGGGTCTATGGTAGAACGTCCCTTACGAAAGCCATATTGACGAGTGGAGAGACTGTTGTGTGTCTCTAAATACCACACTAAACGTCTATTTACTAGGCGTTCCATTACTTTGCAAACTGCACTGGTAAGAGCAATGGGACGATAGTGGGAGGTTTCATGTCCCATAGTGCCTGGTTTGCGGAAAGGGAGAACAATGGCGGATTTCCACAGCTGTGGAAGAACTCCTTGTGGCCAAATAAGATTGTAAAGGCGTAATAGGACTGCAAGGGCTGACTGATGTAAATGCTGTAGCATACGAATATGAATGTCGTCGGGCCCAGCTGCCGATGATCGACAAGCTGAGAGTGTTGCCTCCAGTTCTTGAAGTGTAAAAGGCACATTATACTGTTCTTCTCTGAGAGAAGAAAAGTCCAAGGGTGCTAACTCTCTGGCAGACTTTGAGGAAAGAAATGAGGGGCATAGATGGAGTCCCTGAGAAATACGGACCTGATGATTGCCAATTTCATTGGCAACATCTAGTGGGTTTGCTATATCAACACCGGCAACCTGCAGAACAGGAGCCGGGTCAGGAGAATATTTACGACTCAGTTTTTGTACTTTTTTCCAGACTGCACTCATAGAGGAAGCAGAGGTGATGGTGGAGACATAATCTCGCCAGCAAGTGCATTTAGCGTCACGGATGACACGGCAAGCAATCGCACGCTTCTGTTTAAAATCAAGGAGTCACTCTGTGGTTCTATTGTACCGGTACCTGCCCCATGCAGCGCGTTTCAAACGTACTGCACGAGCACAAGCAGGAGACCACCAAGGCACGCATTTCTGAGAATGCCTGCCCGAAGTTTGGGGTATAGAATGAGAAGCTGCGGTGAAAACGGAGGACGAGAAGAGGTGTAAAAGCTCATCGATGGAGGACGAAGAAGGAACCTCTTTAAAACAGTTGGTGTGAGTAAAGGTTCCAATTTTGCCCGATTAAATTGCCAGCGTGGGTGTGCAAAGAGGTGGCGAATATGAAGGGGAAGAAAGAATGATGTGGAAATGATCACTGTCATGTAAGTCCGGGAGAACAGACCAAGTGAAGTCTAATGCGGCGGAGGAAGAGCAGACTGAGAGATCGATGCAAGAGAGAGTATGAGTCCGAGGATCAAAATGGGTGTGAGTACCTGTATTTAAAACATGGAGGGGGTGGGTGGCAAGAAAGC